GACAGGAACTCCTGATCCTCCTGCCTCTACCTCCTAAATGCCAGGTTTACAGGGCACACACCCCAGCCAATCTAAACTTAATTAATAAACAAAAATTATACATTGAGTAAAATAATTTTTTACTTTAACACTCACTGTCTTCTCTAAATTTTTATTTTTATATTCTTTAAATGTATACTCTGTTGTATTAAGTGTGCAGTAGCTTAAGTCTAAAAGAATTACATAGATTTTTTTTTATTTGAAAAATACATTATTAAAAACTAAACAGTGCTATATCTGCCCCTTTATCCAGTGTGGCTGTTTTCCTGGAAGAAGTCTTGCTGAGTTGCTGAAGATTGGAGTGGCTGTAACAGTTTTGTTTTATTTTGTTTTTGTTGTTGTTTTTTAACATCAGTGATTAACTTTTAGGAATGATTGTCTGTAGCTTGAAATACTAATGCTGCTTGGTAGCATAGCACTTCTTCCATTGGAGCTGCTCCCTTCCAGCCATGGATCAGCTAAGCTTCTGTAATAGTCTAAATCGTTTGTTGTCATTCCGTCAGTGTTCACTATACAGGTTGTACCTCAAGAAGCCACTCCTCGGCCAGGCAGTGGTGGCGCATGCCTTTAATCCCAGTACTCAGGAGGCAGAGACAGGCAGATCTCTGGGAGTCAGGCCAGCCTGGTCTACAGAGTGAGTTCCAGAACAGGCTCCAAAGCTATAGAGAAACCCTGTCTCGAAAAAAACAGAACAGCCACTCCTCATCTGCTGTTTTATCACGAGGTCACAGTAATTCAGCTACATCCTTAGGCTCCGCACTTTCTTTCTGCTTCTACCACATCTGTAGTTACTTCTGTTGAAGCCTTGAACCCCTCAACGTCATCTGAGACACCTGTTAATATTAATACTTTGATCATAAATTGTCATAAATCATGAATCAAAACATCTAAAGTGCCAACTTCTTTCAAAAATGTCATTACATAATTTCCTCGGTCTGTCATGGGAACGGATGCTACAGATTTGTAAAGTGAATTTCTTTAATAATAAGGTTTAAAAGTTGAAGTGATTCCTGGGTCTTCTATATTTGCAGACATGAAAGCAACAATTTCATTGTAAATCTCCATCAGAGCTCTTGGGGGACTAGGTGTGTTGCCAATGACCAGTAGAAAAGGTTTATTTACTTATTTATTATGTATACAGTATTCTGTCTTGTATATGACTGCAGGCCAGAAGAGGGCACCAGGCCCCATTACAGATGGTTGTGAGCCACCATGTGGTTGCTGGGAATTGAACTCAGGACCTTTGGAAGAGCAGGCAATGCTCTTAACCGCTGAGCCATCTCTCCAGCCCCCTAGAAAAAGTTTTTTTAAGTATAAATATAACATGTTATGTCACCATGTTGCTCAGGCTCAAGCAATCCTCCTGCCTCAGCACCCGAGACAACAGGAAATACTACTGTGCTTAGCAGTACTATTATGAAAGGATCCTGAGCAGTGTGTCTCCCCACAGAACCATCAGGTCCAGTTTGTGCTGCCTGTTTGCCCTTGGGTGTGTGTCCTTGGACAAAGCCAGGCACTGGCTTCTGTCTGTGAAAGTTCCAGCTGTGTCTTCTTCAACAGAAGGCTTTCTCAGCTCCCTTTAAACCTGTTGTTTGGTGTATGTCCACTTCAACAGTCTCAGCTGGACCTTCTGGCAGCTTGCGGCTTCTGCACCAGCGCTGCCTGTTTCACCTTGCACTTCACGCCTGTCCTGGTTGCTTCCTGTTGCCACGATAAACGCCATGACCAAAGCAACTCCGGGAAGGGGAGGGTTTCTTTGGCTCACACTTCCAGGTCACAGTTCATCCCTGAAGGAAGCCAGGGCAGAACACAAGTGAAAACTTAATCAGAAGCCATAGAGGAGGAACATTGCTTATGGAACGCTCTGTAGACCAGGCTGGCCTCAGACTCGATGATCTGCCTGCCTCTGCCTCATGAATGCTGGGATTAAAGGTGTGCGCCACAATACCCAGCTGATGGAGGCAGTCCGTAAACTGAAGTTCCTTCTTTCCAGGTGACTCTAGGTTGTATCAAGTTTACAGTTGAAACTAATCAGGGCAGTGTTATAGAGATGGCATGGCTATCTGTACCTTATTCCTCATGCATCAGAGCTGGGTGCTATACATACGCCAGTGTTCCCAGCACCCAGTAGAGTGAGGCCAGAGAATTTTCAATTCCAGCCAGGCTAATGAAGAAAGCAAGACCCTGTCTCAAAAAATGAAACACCAAAAACTCCACACTTAAACAAAACCATCTCATGACCCAGACTCTGTTAACTACAGACTTTGCCCTGTAACTCTCTCAGATAAATTGTAACTTTATCAAACTGAAGAGATTAGATGTTCTGGATTAGATGCTTAGCTGCCATGATCTGTCCAAACCACCAGATCTTTCTGTAATCCTGGTTTGCTTCCTCGTTACACGTGTGTTCTGGGGTGGCACTTTGAATTTACTTCAAGAGTGTCTGCTTTCTGTAGTGGCATTTCATCTGCATTTTAATAAATAAAGGTTGCCTGAGGACCAGAAAAGTAAAACCGCCACACTGCCCAGCCTTACAGATCAGGCAGCAATGATACACACCTTTAATCCCAGTAGCCACACTAGCTTGCCATAGAAACTAGGCAGTAGTGGTGCACACCCTTAATCCCAGAACTAGAGAGGAATACAAAATGGGAGAAGACAGCTCTCAGTCTCATTCTGAGATTCCTGGAGGCAGGATCACCCTTTTCAGACTGAGGTCAAGGTAAGAGCCAGTGGCTGGCTGCTTCGCTTTTCTGATCCTCAGGCAAACTTTATTTATTAAAATACAAATGAAATGCCAATACCGCTTTCATTCACAATCATGCTCTGTGTTTAATGTAGGGATCCATCCTTCAGCCTGTTGTAGCTCTCAGCTTAGCTTTTCCACCTTAATTTCTAGTTTAAAGTGAGAGATACGCCATTCTTCGTTTACTTAAACAGGTAGAGGCCACTACAGTGTTATCAGCTGACCTAATTTCAGTAGTGTTTGCCCTCAGGGAAAGGGAATGAAATGGAGGAGTAGTTGATGGATTGGGCAGTTCGAACACACCCATTTACTCCGTTAGCTATGTAAGGGGTCATTGCCCCCCAAACTACTTATAATTGCAGCATCAAAGGTCACCGTGTGTTGTGTGACTCACCCTACATAGGACACTGATGACAGAAACTGAGTGATTCGGCCCAAGTCTAGCTCAGTGACCCAGAGTTTGACCGAGGTTATTGATAGGCACCACCCACCAGACAGCAGCTTCCCATTCAGAAGTAACTGCTTTTATACCTTGGGGAGGGGAGGGCTCACGAGTGTGTGTGTTGCCTTGTGAGCCCCTGTGTTCGTCTCTGTGCCTCCCATTTCCAGAAGAGAATATTAGCAGAGCTAATCTTGTGAGGATTTCTTGTAAGGTAATCATAGTTGTACTGATGACAAGAAGAACAACATCCCGTAATACCATAAGACAATAATGAAAAATTTGAAATACACAGCACAACATAAACCCATGCCTTTGGGAAATGGTGCTGGTTGGTACAACACGGAGGATAGCGTTGCAAAACCTTAACACCTCAAAATACACTTATGCCTTTATGCTTCTGGGAACGTATCTAATAAACATGCTTGTGTATCTTTTAAATGTTCCTCGTATTGTCTGAGATAATGCCAAGTTTGAAAACAATGTATATCCATCAATAACACACACAACGGAGTGTTATGTACCTATTCCTATCTATCCTAGCTAGTAGACAATTCCGTGTGGTACTTTGTCCCTCAGCACCTGACACAGTACTTACTTTCTCTCCCTGTGGTGCTGGATCCTCACAGTGACATGCCAAAGAGTTAACCCTTAACTGTCACTTCCCACCTTATGTTAAGAGCGGATGTCTGAACCAGTATAAATTACTTAATTTGTAGGTGGCACTGATTTTTCTGTTCAAGTACTGGGAGCACTCTATTTTACTTTGAACTTGAATAATATTCATGAGACATTCTGGATCATAATTAGTTTTTCCTGGAGCGTGGTAAAGCCTTTCAATTTTAGTTTTACATCCCTCTTACTTTGGCTATTCCAAGTATCAGTATTTCTCTGTCCAGAATTACTGTATGCATTAGATCAGTCATCCTTATTTTGAATAACTATGCTGTTTCAAGCCACATTACCTTGGACTTTTTTTTTTTTTTTTGGTTTTTCGAGACAGGGTTTCTCTGTGGTTTTGGAGCCTGTCCTGGAACTAGCTCTTGTAGACCAGGCTGGTCTCGAACTCACAGAGATCCGCCTGCCTCTGCCTCCCGAGTGCTGGGATTAAAGGCGTGCGCCACCACCGCCCGGCCTGAATGATACAATTTAAAAGAGTTAATGTAAATAAATCTATTGGAATATGATCTAGAACAGAGAATGCTTAAAATGTACTATTAGTAAATATGTTGTTAAAATTTTTCCCTCAAAAAAGAAATATTCTCTATATTCTAGTATATATATATTTTTTTTTTCAGCCAGTGTTACTTTTTGCAGTGCAGCCCTCCCAAATAAAGTATGTTAAGGAGGTGAGCTGTGATATTAAAGGCTTGTTACACTTTAAGTTTATCCTCTGTGTTTCAGGCTCTCCACTGAGGATGTGAGCTCTCTACTCCCTGATCTGCTTCCATGCTTCTCAGTCTTGATGGACTCAGGCTGCTGGAACAGTGAGACCCTAGAAACCCTTTATTCTGCAAGTGGTTTTCATTGTGCTATGTTGTCACGTCAAGAGATGGTAACTCACACCCCCTCCATCCCTCCTAACTTACCGTCAGGCCTTCTGCTTCTTGTACATGTAGATGGCAGAGGCACCGATTACCAGTAGCATTTTGGGTACAAGGAACACAGCTACAAGGATTTCAGCAGTATCTGATGTCTTCATTTCTGGAAATCAAGTGGTAGGAGGAACCATTAGAGAGGACACAAGGAGTTTATCATCAGAGATCTTTACCTGGGTCATTTATGCACCCAAGCCCACCACAATTGCCAGAAGCAAGACCAAGAAATAAGAATTCAGACCTCTCTTAGGAAGTTCAAAGTGAATGTCCTGATGCCTATGCTGGTGATTGGAGATCATCTACATGGAGACCAACTCCAGGACTGTGATTGGGGATCATCTACATGGAGACCAACACCAGGACTGTGATTGGGGAACATCTACATGGAGACCAACTTCAGGACTGTGATTTTTAGATCATCTACATGGAGACCAACTCCAATACTGTGAGTGGACTTAAGTCTACATTGCCCAGAAACTCCAGTGCCTGTGAAAGTAGGATACAAAATGTTTCCAGAGAGACCAAAGACAAAGATGTAAACCAGGGGTTAGAGATTCCACAGTGAATGTGAACACAACCAATGGATCTCAGTGTGCTGTGGACAAAGAACAGGTAAGACAACCATACTGTGCCTTGGGCTTGTCACGTTTTGCCTTGATTTGCTTTTCCTCTTAGGAGGGAGGAGACTTACATCTTGGGGAAAGATCTCATGCTTGCCTGCTTCTTACTATCTGTTTGACATCTAGAACGGAACCTGGCATACACTAGGCCCAGGTTGTCTGGCAGAAAGAGAAGACTTAATTGGGTGAGGTAATACACTCTGGACACAGTAGGCCAGGTTTGTCCCTGTCCCTGAACAAGGCATCGGATGTCTTTATGTAGCCACCAGACAGGGACAGATTGAGAAATGTAGTTATTGTGAGGCAGGTAAGGGTATGGGTTAACCTCCATTTATCAGAAATGGTACTGCTAGCACATAGCATGTCCTCTCCTCAGCTTCCTTGGCCCACAGCTGGGTAAAGTCATCCTATGAGCATAAGGGTCACCTACAGGCTTGTGTCTACATTGTTGATCACAGAATCTTGGACACATTATGACCTTTTGGAGATATGAGGGACAAGGACAATGCAGTACTTACCAAGGACATAGATCACTGTGCCTCCCCCAGACAGAAACTCTTTGTCAGCGTCTGCTTTCTGAAACTTCACACAATAGTAGGTACCAGAATCATGAATTGTGACATTACTGATGCGGATGGAAAAGTCCAGGTTGTATCTCTTTATAGCATCTGTAACATATGTGACTCTGGGAAACTTCTCTTCTGTGAAACTATATATTAGTTGTCGACTCTGTCCTGTGCCCCTGAACCACTTAATGGACCCCAGTGGACGCAGAGAAGTCACAGTGCAGTTCAGAGTGACTGACTCTCCAGCACGGACAGAAACTGCTTTCTCAGGCTGAATCACCTTCAGGTCCTGTGCTCCTGCAGGAAACATCAGTTAGTGCTCATCATGATGAGAACTCACAACCCACAGGCTCCTCTAGTTTGTCATCAAAAAATGTTATAAACTAGACCTCAGCATGGGGTGATCATGGTTCCCCTCACTTGGGCCTCTTAGCAAAGGAATGGAAGAGATGAGGAAATGAGTCACAGAGACGCTGAGTCTTTGGCAGTATTTTCGTGAAGTCCCAATTCTGTTTGAGATTCTCATGCCAGTATCAGCTTGATTTTCATTTTCTGTGCACATGGTATGTTGCACCTCTTATACAATAGTATTGGATGTGATTACATGACTCTTTAAGACCAGTGATGTAAATGTTTAGTGTGAGGTATAGTTAGTGAGATGTACATTTGATTACCAGATTCTAGGTAAGGCCCCCAAGTCAGGGGGTTGCTTTACCAGGTGGAGTGATAATGCCATAGCTATTTCCCAACATGCAATAACATGCACATTAATTTGAGAAATAAAACCCCTGTTTAAGTTACCAGTTTTAAAAATATGTATTTTTATCATATTAATTTTATGTGTTTTGGTATTTTTCTTTCATGTATGCACCAAACACATGTCTAGTGGTCAAGGAATCTAGAACAGGGAACTGAAGTTATATATAGTTATAAGTCACCATGTGGGTGCTCAGACTGAAACCTGGGTCCCATGGAAGAATATCAAATGGTCTTAACCCCCAAACTATCTTCCTCTGGCCCCAACATTATATTAACTTCAAGGGTGACAAAACAGATTTCTACAAAGCCCATGGTTTGACACAACAGAAAAGTTTTATTTCACGCTTTGGGGGTCAGAAGTTCTAGTTTGGTGTGACATGGCCACTACCAAGGGGTCACAGTGTCCCACCCTCCAGGAGGCCCTGTTTGTTCCTTGCACATGATGTGGTCACCTGGGGACACTCTCTCTTGTCACCTGGCAATGAATGGACACAATGAAGCATTCATGATCTGTAATCTTTGTTAGTTCATCTCTAGCTGCAGGACTCTTTGTTCACACAGGGAACAGATCTGCTACAGAGTGTTGTTATAGCTACATTGGTGTAACTCTCCCATCACTACTATTAGCATCCAGTGTGAGGAACATCTCAAAACCCTGGTGAGCTGATGACGAATGGAAATTATGGTCGAGCTTGAGAAATTCTGACTCAGCATCTCATATGTACCTGAGTGCTAAGTGGAGATGGTGTTTCTTGCTTGGACTGCAAGAACCTAGCCTGAAGTCAGATGTGCTTTCAAGTTCAGATCTCAGCATCAGCTGGCTGTGTGGTCATGGGCAGGGCACTGACAAACTGGGCTCACTTCTCAAACAGGACTGCACTGGATATTCTGACTATACTTCCTGCTATAAAATTGCCAGAATCAAGACCAAGAAACAAGATTTCAGACTGTAACACCCGGTTTTGGTGTTACACCCTCGGTACAGTTCGCGCGCAGCTGTACCGAATGCGAGTCCGGGCAAGGGCCTGGAGATTGAACACA